GGACACAAAATACATAAAAAAAAAACTTAAGAAATATTTGCTTTAAGAAATATTATATACATAATTATGTATATAATTACGAATGTATATAATTACGAATTAATGTATATAACTACGAATTTTGCTTAATCTTTCTTAGCTTACTCAGACTGTCTTTTAGGTTAATTGGAAAATACAAATAGGAACGTAAAATTTGCATTATTATCCGACGACCGATAATAATATTTTACGTTTGTGCGGTAATTTTTTAATTGGATTTGCTCGAGAAGCTTCCGCGGCGCTGGACGCGATGCTCTCTTCGAGAATCTCTGATTTACATCAGACGAAAAATTATCGCCGGAGTTTGTTCGCGAGAATGGAAGCGCGGGATTAGTCCTGAAATTTATATCGTTCTCCCCCCTTGCGAACTATTCGCACGGTGAGTTTTCGATATTAGAGTAACTATAAATTCTTCTCTCCGCGTCCTCTCTCTCTCTCTCGCGTCTTTTAAGCGGCATAGTTTCCTTTTACCGTGCGATCCGCAAATTAGACTAAGACGACAGTCTCATCTCTGAGGAGATTTATCGGAAGAATTCTCTCGTCCCGAACTTTCTTGCTGACATTTGAATATCGGACTTGTCGCTGATTGTAAGTAAATCATTTCGCGTCTCAAATTGCGCGGCCGCGTAAAAAAGCGCACGACAGAGTTCGTATCGTCATTTTTCTCGCGGAGTAAAAAAAAAACTCTTCAAAAAATAAAATCATCCATCCCGCTTGTGTGCCGCGGTTCTCTATACGATCAGATACGAGATCGTAAGGTTTTTTAGTTTTTCTTTTTTTTTGCGTTACGAATTAACGTAGCGCGCGAGTGACATTGGAAATGAAATGGCGGAGATTTCATTCCACGGCGACTTCGAGGAGCGGGAATCTAAAAACTCATTTAGCCGCGAAGCTTATCCCGGAGATTTAATTAACGGTTTCAATTATCACCGACGGCCGTTCGTCGAACTAACGTATCCTCCTATTTCCTCCGAAACGTTCGGTAGAATGGTCCGCGGCATCGCTCGATACATCCCGATAAATCAAGACGAACTCCATCGCGACATTCTCTCCACCAAATTTTCTTGCCTCCGATACAGACAACACCGTTCCATATTTTTTTCACCGAGAGCGCGCGTTAATTTATCATCGACATTTAAGAATAGAAATAAAATAAAAATATCTTTCGCGCAATTGTTTTTTTTTTTTTTTTCAAATGTTTTTACATAATCAATCCGGTGATTATCCGAAATGGTCAGGGTACAAGCGGTTGTTAAGCGCGTTACGAAAATAAAATTAATTTTCCTTCGCATCGGAAGGAAAACCGTGCGGAGAAATTGATATTCGCACGAGATACGCACAAGCTATATTGTAAATATTCCATCTTATTTGTGTGTCTTATGAGACAGCGTGAGTTGTAACACGTACAACACACTTGTCGCACAATCGAGTTTACGTTTCGCGTCCGTTGAGTCCTATACATCAATGACGATTTCGAACAAGCGCCGAGAGAACAGAAGAAAAAGAGCGACAGAGACACACGATCGCCGCGAAATTTACATGAAAATTGAAATGCGCGGCGATCGATCGATGTGTTCTGCATAAAATTGATGTATCGCGAATCATGCGCGCCAGGGATATTTTCATCTCGCGTCACGTGAGCGCCCAGCTTGCTTGCTTGCTTGCTTGCTTGCTTGCGCGCGAGCAACGCGAGCGAAGGCTACACGATCCCCGGTGCCATAAATCACTTTGCGTGAATCTATATCCCTAATAAAAGGAAAAACCATACCTTCGTCCGAGCGTATCTTTTTTGATGTAAAAAAAAAGAAAAAGAAGGGGGAGCACGCTCATATAACTTGAAACGTCTGAAGCCGCCGATGTGAATTGCGTACATTTTTTTTTTCGTTTTTTTTTTTTTAATGTCTCTAAAAGTATACACGAAGAATGTGTAAATAAATACGCAATTGAAACAATATATATATATATATATGAGCGCAATAAACGATCGATGTTTTACTGCGGATTCTAACCGCGAGAATCCTTCCTATATTAAAAAAAAGATATTTGGACCGAGAAGTGCGCGTTTGGAGTCGAATATATCGCACTTGTTGTTGCCTCTTTTCCGCGTTGCCGATTGGTTGGTTGGTTGGTTGATCGAGTCGAATCGAATCGGAAAGATCGAGAGAGTAAAATAATGAAAAGCGATTTTGAGACAGAGTTCGTCGTATATGTAGAGAAAATTAAAAACGCGCGTAACTAAAGTCACGTGACAGGAAAGAGTAGAAAAACACGTGAAAATAACGTAATTTATATTATATATAACATTAAATAATACATATTATACATATAATTTATTATATATTTACAATATTATACTTTATATTGTATTATATGTATTATATACATACTACAGAGTAATGTCACTGACCTCGGCCGCGCGGCCTTGGCGGGGTCATTGACC